GCCTCACTGACAAGTGTTACAAGGCAACGGCACTGTCAGCGAGAGCCATAAATGCCTCCGCCATTCTGTCAGCCTACCAGGCTGAATTAGAAGAGGACATGACGCTTAAACCAGATACCTCTGTGTGATAACAGACCACATCCTCCACCTCCACAAGGTAGCCGTCCAGGCTACGGGGAGAGCCATGGGTCTGATGGTCCTCCAGGAGAGAGCACGCTGGCTCACGCTCACCAACCTGTCGACGAAGGGAAAAGAGGAGCTCCTCGACACTCCTATCGTTCCACAGGGTCTCTTCGGTGCAGTGGTCACCTCCGTGCAGAAGAGATGTGAGGAGAAAAAGAGAGACGACGAGGCGCTGAATCTGTGCCTACCGAGGAAGACGCAGCCTGCCGCATCCAGTGCGCCGCGCCAGTCTTATGCTCAGGCTGTCTCCCAGGCTGCATTTAGGATCCCCAAAACGCCCAAACCGCAGGCAGCCTCCCAGGCCCCCAGAGGTCGAGGGGGCAGTCTCCTCAGGCCAGACTTTATCCTCGTCCCACAGCTGCGATGTTGAAGAGGAAGAAGCAGGCGGCCTGATAGCCTCCCCTCGCTGGGAGAGCGAGCCCTGTCAGCCCTCTGTCCCCTCTGTCGCTCTCTCCCTTTCCAGCTCCGTTCCAGAGCCAGTTCAGAGGGATGTGTTCCACTCAGAGTGCAAAGCCCGGGTCAGCGCGTATGTTCCAAGAGACAATGTTCGGAACCAAACGGTCAATGTCATGCAAGCATTTTAATGCACTCTGTAATAAAAATGTCCCGACAGGCGCATCCAGGCAAAAGGCCGAGGGCTCTGTCCAAACAAATAAAAAATATGCAGAAAATAAAAATATTGAAAAACAGATCACTATCTGCAATAACACAACCTGTGGGGTTGAGCACTCCCGCAGCTGTGAAGCACACTGCTCACTGGCGCTCGGACAGTGTGTGTTGTGCATCCCAGCCGCACAAGGGCGCCAAAACACCAGAGTTGACAGGTTGGGCTGTCAGCCCTCTGTCTCAGCAGAGAGAGAGATGGGCTGCCTGCACCGAGTCAGAATGGGTGTTGAGGACGATAGAAAAAGGCTACAAGCTCCAATTCAATATCGCCCCCCCTCATTTCAAAGAAATAATCAACTCACCGATTTTCTCTTGGAAGAAATTTCCACACTACGGGAGAAAGGAGCCATAAGAGTTGTGCCTCCCGAGGAGAACCACAGCGGTTTCTACTCAAGGTTTTTTCTTGTCCCAAAGAAAGGGGGGAGGGGTATGAGAGCCATTTAGACCTCTAAGAAAGTACAGGTTCAAAATGTTGACACTCGCTTCGCTGCTGCGTTTCGTGCGCGCAGGCGACTGGTTCACGTCAATCGACCTAAGGGACGCCTATTTCCATATTCCGATTTATCCCCCGCACAGGAAATGCCTGAGATTTGCTTTTCGCTGGATAGCTTACGAGTATATGGTCCTCCCATTTGGCCTATCTCCAAGCCCAAGGGTGTTTGTAAAATGCACCGAGGCAGCTGTAGCATCTCTCAGGGAGAGGGGCATCAGAGTAGCCACATATATCGACGACTGGCTGGTGGCAGCTCCCTCCCAACAAGAGGCGGCCTGTCATACAGAGGTTCTCTCACAACACCTGATGGGTCTGGGTTTTCAGATAAATGTGGAAAAGAGCATGATGATACCTGCTCAACGGGTCACATTTATAGGGCTCACCCTGGACTCGGTCCAGGCCAAGGCCTTTTTGTCTCCGGAGAGAGTGCAGACGATGCAAGCATGTCTGGCACTTTTAGGCCTGATGGCCTCTTCTGTGGTGGCTATACCTCTGGGACGTCTGTACATGAGAGGCATTCAGCACTGGGTGGCTTCTCTGGGGCTAGACCCTCACCGCGATGGTCACCGTCGTATGAGGGTCACTGCAGACTGCTCTCTTGCTCTCAGACAATGGAGGAGCCCAGTTTTCCTCATTCAAGGGGTCAGATTGGGAACTGTCCACAACAGGAAGGCGATCACGACAGACGCCTCTCTGTTGGGCTGGGGGGCCACTCACGAGGGAAGAACAGTGAATCGGAATTGGGGCTCTCACATGCGCTCTGCTCACATAAAATGTCTGGAGCTGCTGGCTGTTCACTTGGCTCTGAAACATTTCCTCCTGTGGCTAAAGGGTCATCATGTTTTGGTGAGAACGGACAATTCTACCGTGGTGTCCTATGTAAACAGACAGAGCGGGCCGAGGTCCCCCCCAGATACACATACTGGCACACAGACTGATAGTGTGGGGCAGTGCACACCTGCTGTCTCTGAGAGCAACGTATGTGCCGGGCATTCTGAACTACGGGGCAGATCTGTTATCTAGGGGCAACCCGCTGTATGCAGACTGGAAGCTTCACCCTGAGGTAGTGAGGCAACTGTGGACGTTTATGTTACAGTGGACAATGCTCAGTGCCCCATGTTTTTCTCTCTGAGAGATCAGGGAGCCCCGCTGGGAGTGGATGCACTGGCACACGAGTGACCCTCCTGTATGTCTTTCCACCAGTAGCACTCATTCCTCCCACTCTGGCCAGAGTGAGAGAAGGAGCCCTGTCAATGATTCTGGTAGCCCCACATTGGCCAGGAAAGCACTGAATGGCGGAGATATTTCAACTCCTGTCCAGCCCACCGTGGCCGTTACCTGTGCGCAGGGAGAGATATTTCACCCTCACCCAGAGAGGCTGGCCCTGTGGGCCTGGCCCGTGAGTGGTTCAATCCAAATGTGGTGGGACTCCACCACAGTGTTATTGATACTATTCAGTGCGCCAGGGCCTCTTCAACTAGGAAGTTGTATGAGCATAAGTGGCGTGTGTTTGAAAGCTTTTGCTCAGAGTCGCAGGCTATTCCTTTTCAGTGTTCTGTGGCAGAGATTCTGTCATTCTTACAGAACCTTATAGAGAAGGGTAAGGCTTTCTCAACCATCAAAGTGTATCTGGCAGCTATTTCGGCTTGCTATATTGTGATGAGAGGACTGTGGGTCAACATCCATTGGTGTGTCAATTTATGAAGGGTGCTAGGAGGAAACTGCCTACATCCAGACCACTAGCTCCATTGTGGGATCTCCCAACAGTACTGGAGGCTCTCTCTGGCTCCCCATTTAAACCTTTGGAACAGGTCGAGCTGAAGATGTTGTCCCTGAAAGTGGCATTATTGCTGGCATTAGCTTCAGCTAAACGCATTGGTGAGATAAATGCTTTCTCTGTGCATCGTGCATGTACTAAGTTCTCCCCGGGGAACACCAGGGTCAGTCTACTGCCTAACCCTGCCTTCATACCCAAGGTTATGGGCACTTGCTCTTCAATAGAGCTGGCTGCCTTTTACCCACCGCCTTTTTTCTCTGAGGAACACAGGCGTCTGCATAGTCTTTGCCCTGTCCGTGCACTGCACATTTATTTGGAAAGGACCCAGAGTTTCAGGAACGGTGACCAGCTGTTTGTGTCTTGGGCGAACCCACACATGGGAAAGCCAGTTTCCAAACAACGTCTGTCCCACTGGATTGTGGGGGCTATTGCTCTGGCTTACACGAGCAAGGGCCTCCAGCCCCCTGCAGGCCTACGGGCACATTCCACCTGAGGGCTAGCAACCTCATGGACTCTCTTTAAAGGAGTCTCTATTCAAGAGGTGTGTGCCGCAGCATGCTGGGCTTCACCCCACACTTTTGCTAGATTTTATAAATTGGATGTCACGGCGCCAACCATGGCACGTTCAGTCCTCAGTTCAGTTTCTTCTTAGGGCGTGGCTCCCATTGTGAGAAGGGCCACTGGGGACAGTTGTCTTCATATCAGGCTTGTCTGGCAATACGGGAGTCAGTATACGAAACGAATGCTATGAAAGAGAACTTTAGGTTATTTACATAACCCCGGTTCTCTGAGTAGCATGAGTGAGTGTCTCACCAGACCACCCTCCTTGCTATGGAAGCAAAGAAGAGGTGAGCTTGTTTGAATGACGGCTGACGCTATGCCTGCCTATTATTAGACGTCATCCTTGCCAGCCAATGAGGGCTGGCGTAGTGTTATTAAGCTTCTGACGAGGTCACGCAGGAGGCGTTCCTATAGTGAGACACTGGCCCTTTCCGAATAGTCACAGTTCAGTATGCAGTACGTACTTTTCAGTAGGGAGTTTTAGTATACTGAACTTTCGTGGTCATTCAGTATGCATTTTTTGGGTCCACCTCAGTATACTGAACATTTCCGGGTTTCATGCAGTATGGATCGGATGCGTGCTTTCAGGAAATTAATTCTATTTTACCACCCACAATGCTGTGCGAAATTAAACGTAAATCGTCACATCCGCCTCCAAATCAAAACAAACGAGCGTGGATTAATTGAATCAATTTTTAATCTAGATTTGAAGTCCCGTCTGAAATCACTACTTTTAATTAACAACAGAAAATATAACAAATGTCTGCATTATTATAAAACCGTTCCCCCCTCTATTTAAATAATGATTTCACTATTTAAATGCGTCTTTATTTGTTTATTTTACTTTATATTCTGTATATTACTGTCTTTCATTTGTACTTTTCTTTATGAAGGCTACTGTATGTTATTTAGTTATTTAATCTGCCTTTTACTTGATTTACATTGTGATATTTTTTGTTTACTTGACTGTATATGAGCGTTACTCTATACAAAAAAACCCCCAAAAAACCGGTGAATGCGGCCGGTTCTCGTAACGTAAATGACGTCACTTCCTTACTGAATGAATCAGATGAGGTTGGAACAAATATCTGCCTACTGTGCACGCCTACTGAATAGTATGTACTAAACAGTATGCAGCACGGATAGTAGATACTGTCTACTGACAGATTGAGTAGGTACTTGGCAATTCGGATACAACCCCTCAGAACCGGGGTTATGTAAATAACTGTAAGGAGCACGGGGGCGTTCTGAACAGACGTCATACTCCATCGTCCAATCGTATCGCTGGAAAAGTAAAAAAATAGAAGTACACTACGCTACTCCTCTGCGCAGCCGCAGACTCACGCACAGGAAAAGCCAGCTAGTTCTCTCCTTCCCACAGAGGATATTAAATCTCCTTACAAAGGTAAAAACACTTTTTTTATTCGTCCATGGTCTTCTCAATGGTCAAAATTATTGATAACCTTCTGTCTGTCTGTAGAATAATATCACGGTATTGTATTTCGTTTTTCCTGCCTTCTACTTCTGTTGTTATGCTAACCGGTGAAAGCTCGTCTGGCTAGGCTAAGATCACTAAGTAGTTAGCCAGTCACCTTCCTGTTAAGCTAACGTCAGCTTTTGTTTCTAGCTCTGATGCGTTCACCTCAGGCATTTGACATCCGTACTCTGACAGGGGTTTGTGAAAACCTGCAGGAACGAAGCGTATCGTGTTCATTGTAAGCTATCAGGTAAAACATGAACCAGTTTGAATGACACCTGATGACCGTCTGCACTGACAGCTGCAGGGATGTGATAACACTTTATGATGAGATAAACTTCTTCTGATTCTCTTATTGGGGGAAATTGTATTGTGAAATTTATCTCACAATAAAGGGCAAAGGTAATAAGCAACAAAATGTTAAAGACAACTAACTTATTTACAGTAAATAAATACAAGAAGATCAGTAGAAGTAGTAATAATTGGTATATACTTTGTAAACTTTCACTTTTGGAAATATACAACCAGTTTTAAAAACACACATGGTGTAAAGCATATGGATATAAGGGACCTGTAATCTTTGGTATACCGTGTCACCATGTTGTTCACAATAACTTTGTGTCTTTCACAGCTTCAGGTAAATCAATTGATGCAGCCAAGCCATCTTCAAAGACCAATCCAAAATGAAAATAACATGCACAAACCATAGGAAATGCAACAGGAAACACACATTTAAAGGATGGAAACCAAAAGCAATTTGGGGGAAATAGTAGGTTAATGTCTTGGACAGATTAGTAAAAACACAGCAGTCAATACATTGTTTCTAGTAGCCAGGCAGTCGGGGATTTTATAATACAATGATTAGAAATTCAAGACTTTGACTGGTTTGTTTTGTGCATCTTACTAAATCACCTCTTCTAAAGTCCTACATAACTGTTTCAACTTTGTGCTAGAGAATTGTTTGATTAAATATCTGCAGCTTGCTGTGCAAGCCAGGCTGATGGTCTTAAGGTTAAATGCAATTACAAGGACAGTTTGGATAAAGCTTAATTCACTTTAAGCTTCAATTGATCACTTCCTCACAGTTCTGTTGATAGAACTGAACTGTGCATGCACCCCTTTGCTAACTGCGAATGTGCCAGTCATAAGCCACAACCAGCCAAGAAGAGTGCATCTTCCTCTTCTTGTATTTCCATTGTTTCACTCTGTCTTTACAAAACAAGTCTTCAGTGTTGGTTTTTTGTTGGTGAAATACAAAATTCATAAAACAGGAAAGGAAGACAGTTATGTGTCATACAGATTTATATGTGATTGACGTACGCCAATGACTAAGAAAAGGTCAGCAAACCCTCCATGGTGTTGGCAAAATGTTTGTTGTGCTTTCCAATTAGTCGTCTGAATTTGAGATGCATATCGAAGAGAAATCATGACTGTTGCTACATATGTACCGGTACATGCATGTGACAAAAATGTAGCCAATTTGCTTGAGTTTGAAACTGATTTCTCAAATATGATTCACTGCTTTGGTTACTTCAAACCTTGGCTTCTTCTGTTCGTGTTTGGATGAATATAAAATGAACACTATCCTGTTTCTATTTGTGTTATATCTGTGTGTGTTTTGTCTTTTGAATCAGCTCTTAGGAGCTCAAAACCACCAGTAAAGCTGTATAAGCACCGGGTTGACGGGACCGAAGGAAGTGGCGCGTCGTACGGGGAGCTGCCTGCTGACATCGCCATGAGCTACAAACCCATTGCTCCTGCGCCTTCTGGCTCTAACCATACACCTCCAGGTTTGAACACAACACACCGCAAATGCAGTTATCTGACATTTCTGTAATTTATACTTCTAAAACGTTGAACACCGTGGATTATTTTAAGGTCAAACACTCCATCGACATAACAAATGAAAGGTTGTCTAGCCAATGAGACTGTGATAATGTGACATACAATACTTTGATGGAAGCTAAGCTTATAGTGACACGTAAAATAATCTGCACATTTACTGTGGATTCAGTAAGAGCCCTGGTACAGAACTGATAGAAATGGGTTTTCTTATTTGTAAGAAATAATAAACTTGCTCAAGCTTATGTGTATCAGAGAACTTTGCAGTAAAATATGACTTTTACCTTAATGCCATGCAGTGTTTCAGGAGGCAGGTTTCTACCCTGTCTTATAATTTGTTACATCCATCTTCCTCTTCTTCTGTCCAGGCTCTTCTGTGCCGTCTCCATCTCTACCCTCATCTTCAAACTTTCGGCCGGCTTTCAGCGACTTCGGTCCGCCCTCCATGGGCTTTGTTCAGGTATGTCTGCTGTACAGACATAGGCTTAACCTGTCTATAGTAGGTTAGTTTATATAGGCTATTCATTTTAGGCCTGTGTTTTTCTTGATTCTCAAACTTATTTTATGTGTTTGAGGGCGCACTCACACTAGCAAAGTTGTCACAGTCCTGTATCGTGCTTAAGCAGGATTGTCCCCCCTCCTCATTCCCCCACTTGTCTGCACTCACAGTGCTCCAGGACTAACCGGGCCTTGCACATAATGTTGTAATACAACACATGAATTTCTTTACGTGATCATGAAGCACGCTTCAGGCGGAATCGAGGAAAAAGGAAAAAAAGGGACGAGCTTTCGGGTCAGCATCCTCGCATTGGAGAACAACTCAGAGAGCATGGCTGCTACTTCACTAACTTTGTGGCTTATTTTGAGTCATGTATGTCAGATGCATTCATAACACTCAGGGATTTCTTGATGATGAAGGATGTCCTCATTGTGTACCCGCGTGCTTGTGCTTGAAGTGTACCGTTGTTTGAGCACTGATCCGAGCACTCACACTAGCCAAAGGAACTGGACTTTAGGGGTGAACTGTGCTTGGGCACGGTACGGATTGCCAAGTGTGAGTGTGCCCTTACAAACAGCTTTAATCTGCTCATCTTACTTTCCTTTCTTCTCATATCTACACAGACACACTTCTGTCTGTGTTTTTTTTTCCCTTTTGACTTTCATCATCAGCAGTACATTTAATGAAGATGCTCAAATAATGTTTATCGCGTTTCACTCTCAATATTTCACGCGATATTTCATCACCATGATCAGCGTGAAGGATAACATCGGCAGCAAGCAGCCGCAAAAAGAATAAAAAGAATAAGTGTGGCGTATGAAGCTGCAATTTTAACTCGAGACATCACACGTCACTTGTTGCGTTTACAGGAGGAACGTTGCAGCAGACCCTCTCTCTCACATCGATGGCAATAAAATACAGATTTGAAAAAAGGAATGAATGGTCTGCAATTATACTCGGGCAGCTGTAATACCTGGGCGACACTGTATTCATACAGTAGCGCAAATATTTGCTGGGAGACTGTTTGTGTGAGAGGGATCTTGAGTTAGCCAAGAGGTTAGCCATGTTGAGCTTTAATTGAGCATATCATCTTATTATCATTTTGATAATAATTAAAAAAATAATGATTATCCGTCCATGCTTTTCCTTTGTATTTGACATCACATTATTATTTAGAAAGAGTACACCTGGCATTGTCCTTTCTGTACGTGTGATGTTAAATTACGAGGTGTTAAAGGTATTGAATGGTGTTTTTTTTCCTCCTTCTTTTTACATGCAACAGCCTGTCAAAGTGTCTCAAGGGTCCACCTACAGTGAGCTCCTCTCTGTCATTGAGGAGATGAGCCGCGAGATCAGGCCAACATACGCAGGGAGTAAGAGCGCCATGGAGAGGCTAAAGAGAGGTACATTGTACTTGTCAAAAAAACACCAGTTTCAGTGCTAGGTTGAAGTGCATGTGTGTGTCCTGAATAGTTAATGAAAGTGCAGATTGTGTTGTTCCCTCTGTACTTTCTGTGCTTTTGTGATGGAAATGAAGCCCCACCCCAGTAAGACTGATGACCTAGGTCACTGACTGATAGGAATGAAAGAACCTGCTCTTTAATTTTTCGGTAATGGCAGAGATGATTTATTCCATGCAGAATGCTTTTGGTCAAAATAGGCTTACTTTAATGAAATAAAACACACGTGTTATATAGCGTAGCAGATTTGACTCTTTAAAACCTGCCTCAGCTCCAGCTCTCAGCTTGTTGTTAGGTTGACAGAAATAAAACAAAACACACCTTTTAAATGTGACACTCACACTTTAGGGACATCAGTTGTATTTAGATATCTGTTGTTGGTGTTACCAAATATTGTTTTTAATATAAGACCTTCAGGCTCTGATTTCATTTAGATTCTTTATCCAACTTGTGAGCAAAAGAGTTATCCTCCATTTAACACTTTTTTTTTTTTTACAGTGTTTCCCACAGCACTTTATGATGAAGCCTTAACAACAGGAGCCCTCTGCCCTCTCGTTGTAGAAAAAAAACAAATTGATTAGAATCCTCCTTCGCCTCTATGTGAGATCCAACAGCTGCTCCTGTTGCTGTTTGATACTCAGTTCGGATCACCCCTCACAGTTCAGGCCACACGTGATCTGCAGATCATTCACTGTATAAATAGGAAGTAAATTCAGTCTTTGATGATATGGTTTTTACAGGCTTTAACACGGAAACATGTTACTATGAAAGTGTTATGGTGTGTGGTTACTTTGTTTCAAACACGACTGTATTGATCATACAGGTATCAGCTGGTGGCTTAAAAAACAAGTTTAGCTAAAAAAATAAAATTTTAAGCTATATATGATATACACATACTATGTTGGAGTGTATTGGACACTAATAAGAGGTGACTCAAATGTAAACAAAGTCCAGAAGACCTAAGACCCTGAGAACGTTAGCTTCTGCCTCTAATGTTAAGATTCATGGGTAAAATTGACTGTCTTTAGTGAAGAAGAATCACATGAATATGGGGCTTTAGTAAGTGCAGTGAATGTTAATAGAAAGGACAGATCGCTGAAACTGAAAGTGCTCATGATGGATAGGCCGGGTCTTTGTAACATAACAATGAGTAAGGTATTTTACCTGCCTTTTGTAAAGTGTCTTGAGATAACACTTGTTATGAGTTGACGCTATACAAAATAAATTGAATTGAATTGAATTAAAACTTCATTTAGCCTCTACTTGATCTGCTGCCCTATTGTTATCTCAGCTGGATTGACAGCCTTGGATCCATTAGATGTGAGATAGAAGGCAGAAAGTCCTTCCAATTGCTTTCGCAATTCTGTTTCATTAATGTCAGAGTGGGTTATTTAACACCTCCTTGCACCTTGCTTTCGTCCCACTCAGGTATAATCCACGCTCGTGCACTGGTCAGGGAGTGTCTGGCAGAGACGGAGAGAAGCGCCCGCACATAACCTTTTCAGAAAGACCCCTTCACCTCACTCTGTCCCAGTAGAGCCTGATCTCTGAAAGGATTTTTTACCCCCCCCCCAACCACCACTTTTTCTCAATGGCTTTTTTATATGTGCATTATATCCTCCTTGTCTCTCCACTGTTCCTGCATTCCACCACACACATTTTGTTCATTACAACCTTCCAGTGACCTATGGTGTACACAAAATGCAGTTCAAGTGAAAAGCTCTGGTTATTGACCTTAGTCAAATGATTGGAAGTGTTGTAAGTGTTCATTGTTCAATTACAGTAATTGACCAAGGAAGTTTTGTTTTCTCCGATGATGAAATCCATGTTCGAACTGCATCTGAGCTCATTTCCTCTTCTTAACACAACCTTACAGACAGTGAATATTCTTCTTTCAAACTGTGCATTTTCACTATGCCCCATTTCCATTCATCCTGTCTTTGTTTTCAACGTGTTTTGTAGAGTAAACACACACAAGATGTTTTTTCAACCCTAAGAACTCTTTACATCTCAAGTCATTTTGTTTGTAAGACAATTTTGTAAACCAGATTTTTGCAGTTCAGTATGTATATCTTAATTAAATAATTAAAACAAATAAAATGTGCTGGCTGTTTCATATGTGAAATTGGTTTTATCTGATACTTGTCGTGGTTCACCTGCAGATTTATCAGACTGTGATGAGACAACTTAAAGATGGCTGACTGTAAAAGTTGCAGGGCATCTAGTGACCAACGTGGACTCCTACAACATGAGTTCTCAGAAAAACATGGAGAGTTAAGATTTTTAATACTGTGAACTGATTCAACTCAGAAACACACTGGGGTAATAACTAGAGATTATCAATCCTTTTTTTAAATCTGTTTGAAAGCAGCAAATGCTTATAGGTGTAATGTGTAGAATTTTTACACTTGAACATCTAAATAAATTTAGAATTGTCTAAACCTGTATTTTTTGGTTAAGTACTTAGAAAATCCATCATTTTATAGTTGTGACGTGTTTTTTGTATGGGCAGCCTTGACATAGGCATGTTTAACATTGTCATGGAAACACCAAAGGCCGCTCAAAAGGAAGCGTGAACTGCAACCGAAAGCTGCTGAACTGTTGCTGTATGTGCTGCTTTGATAGAAATGTCAAATTATCCTTGAATAAATCGTTGGTAAACATATCCTCTTCCTCAGGTCTGTTTCGCCTGTTCATCTTCACTACGGTCAACTCGGAGGTCGTTATCATTGCGGGTGCTGGGTTGGAGTAGCAGAGAGAATCCCTCCCATGATTCCCCGAGAGCCTCAAAAGTTATCTTTTGTTATTGTTTTGATTGAGAGCCCCCTGGCGGTGGAATTAACATACTGCGTTCAAAACAACACAAATCGGGATTAACATTTATTTTTCAATTACATAATCACAGCCTCGGTAACATCTCAGCGTACACAGATTCAGCTAGCTCTGCCGCACATACTCAAAAAGTACTTCCCTTCAACAAGACGTTACAAGAAGCTCTTAACAAGTGAAGGAGACGCTGAGGGTTTTGAAGAACCAAAAACAACACAATTGAAGTATAACATATATGAAGGTGGTACAAAGGAGAAAGCAAAGTAACACAAGCCCATGTGTGTTATAAAGTGATTGTCACAGTCAGCTCTGCGTCCCCAGGAGGAAGTAATGGTCTAATGTGTATTCCAGTGCCACTGCAGTGACCAGAGAATCGAAAAAGGGCGTCTAATGATTCAAGGCAGAGGTTTGTGTGAGAGTGTTCATGATTTCCCTTGTGCAAAAACAAATATAATATATATTTAGGGGTTTCTCAATTCTACGCATTTCTGTTTGGTTTTTATTTTTTAGGCTTACGATTGCAAGTGTTTTTTCAGGAAATCCAACAGCTCTGCACATTTCCAGAGAAAGCGGAAAACAAAAAAAAATGCTAAAGCTACTCATTTAAAATACATTGGTGAATTGGTGTTTGCTAAATACTAAGTTGCTATAAAATGACTTCACAAACTGCAGATACATACATCATTCATTATATGAAAAAAAAAAAAAAATCTTACTGCAGCATTTCCTGTGAATATTGATGCCTTAGATAACATTCGATATGCGGCCAATTACTCAGAGCAAGTTATTTAGCGTAATTGTCTGAAAACACAACAGACTATATATAAGTAGATGTAATCCAGACTTCTTGGAGACTGAAGACGATGATACTTGAAGTGTGTTGTGCTGCTGACCAGGACGGACATCAGGTCTCTGTCTTTAAAGTCAAGCTGATGATATCGGCAATCGATCGGGAAATTAACATTTTAAGTGAAGGACTTGTACCAGATAAATAAGGCAGACAAACAGGATTGGTATAATAGGTGTGACCTGCTGGTGCAATTGTGTGGGGAGCCAGACAGTGTGAGTGTTTGGCTTGGGCGCATGGCTAAAACTGGAACAGCAGCAATGTCTAATGTCTCTCTCTCTCTCTCTCCTCCATCTTGAAATTACCAGACATCCTCTTGTTCCAAGCCACTTTGAGGTTCAACCCTGTGAGGAGGAAGAACAGACATTTCTTACACTTCAGAGTATTTCATCTAGAAAAAAAAAAACATGTCAAGAAAACACCTGAGGCCAGGAAGAGGCTAATCGCAAAAAGAAAGGGCGACTGACTGTAGTGGCAGTGGCAGGTGTTTTGTTGAATAGCCCTTTGTAGCGACCCTTTTCCTCCTTCTCTTTGGAGCGGATCCTGTCCTCCATGGCCCTCAGCTCCTTGGCAACAGATGGTTCCAGAGACGGGTCCAGCTCCAACACTTTAGCGAAGTCCGCCCGGGCCTCTGTCTCGTTCCACACTGCAGCGTGGGCCTTCGCTCGCTTATAGAAGGCCTTCACATTGTCTGTAGGAAAACAGAGAGGGAGGACATATTATAGCCCTTTTCCACCTTTTCAAAACATTCCAAAGTGGTCTGTGCTGTGCTTTGGTCAAAATATACTGTAACATCAATCAAGCACCAGAGGAGGTTTTTGACCCTGTATAAACCAGTGCTGCGCATTGAGAACGCAGCCAGTGGGCGTTGACGGACGAGGGTGCACAGAGCCGTATCAGACCGGAGCAGACACTCAATGCACACGTATCTGGTGGAAGTTCGGTGTCACAGTGCCACAGCTGTTTTACACACAACTGGCACTAATGCTTTCTTCTTTTGTTAATAACTAGAGATTAGCAAACAGCTTTCATATGCACTATAGCCAGTAGTGCTACAGTAAACAATAGAACATTTGATTTTTAGGACGAGATAATAATCTTTGATTTTTCAAGATATTTATCTGAAGGAAAATGAGAAATAAAAAATCTAGGAAGGATGTGATAAGAGTTTCTTTCAATAGCAACATGTTACAATCTGTAGTACTAACAGTGCTCTGACTCGTGGCTGTAAATAATAGTTTGTTATTTATCACCTTGTTAAGTATTGTGATTGTACTGTCTATATTGTTTGCTGTGTGTGTTAATTGCCCGAGTGGCGAGTGTGTTTTCCCACCACAGCTCTGACAACAAAGCCCTACCCTCATATTTGAAGACCAAAGACGTGCAGTGTTCGATGACTTCGTAGTACTGGCCCTGTAGCAGCTTGCACTGGCAGTAGTTGAGGAGCAGTGGTGTGATCATGAGGTCCAACTTTACCAACGCTTCATCTCCAGGATGCTCCTACCAGGGGAGACAAAAGTCACAGAGTAGAGTTTGTTACAACATCAAACTTAAAAAAAAAAAAAAACAGATTTGGATTTTCTTTGATTAAAATGTGACCTTACTTTCATCTGTAGATTTTTCAAGCAGGCGATGCCATTGTAATACTTCTCTGAGGCTTCCTTAACCTGGCCCTGTTTGAAAAGCATGTTGCCCTCCTCATGGATCTGAGGTACAAGCTCGAGTTTCTCTTTGTCTGTCATAGCCCAAACATCGAGCTGGAAAGATCCCGGAGGCAGAACCTGACAGGGACAGGAAGAGGAGGAAGATCATCAGCTGTTAGAGCTTCAATCAGAGAAGGGTCAAATTAAAAAGATTTCTTGACTGGATGTTTTCCTTTAGGGAGGCTTTAAACGTCTGTTTTGCTTCACTGTGTTATGGAGGTGTTCATCCAACTCAATCATAATACTGTCATGTTGGACTACTTTACAGTGCGTTCCCTTTACCTCAGGACTCACATCTCAGAGATGGGATTGACGTCACATCCGCGTTAACCACGTTCCAGTTACAAGTTGGTAACAAGTCGGAAAAGCAACATCGCCGCCTCCAGGAGCACCTTTCTTTTGTTAGCTTATGCTTGGCAATAACAGCACACTACCTGATAGTTTGTGCTAGAAAATAACATGTCCACAGATAGAAGTGATTGTACCCGACCTAGAAACAGCTCTACATGTCAGTGTAGCATATTTGAGTTTCCCTCTGGATTAATAAAGTATCTCTCTATCGATCTATTGCTCCTTTAATATTACACTTTGGGCCTCCCCCTGCCTACTCACCTCCAGCAGCTCGATAGTGAAGACGAGAGGCTGTGGACTGGCCTGAAGCTGATCCAGATCCTTGTGCCCTAGAGAGTGGTGGGAGTGGATCTGGGCAATGCCGCAGCAATGTCTCTGGCCTTCCAGGGGATCTTTACCAGCACTGATGTTTCTCAGGGACTGTGACACTAGCGGGTAGAGTGCTGTGTGCTGAGGGGAGAGCAGAAATGGTCAAATGTGCAGAAATAACACATTGCTGTTCAATTGCACCCTTGCTGACAAGTAATAATAGCAATTAATAACAATAATAATAATAAAAACAAGAGTTTACAAAGTGCTTAAGTGTTGTGGCAACCAAGAAAAACAAATCTCAGGAACAATCAAATTATAAAAACACTGTAGGCCCCATGTCCACCTAGCGTTTTTTTCTCAGCGCCAGCGTCTTTTTTCAGTTGTTTGTTTGTTTGTTAGAGAGCGTTCGCAGCAGGAAGCAACCGCCTGGATGACAAGTGCACCGCTCTGCGTCTTTTTCCCCCCTGCCGTTTTAGTGCTGCCGCTCCGAGCGCTTGAGTTGAAAATCTTTCAACTTTTCAGAAAAGTCACTGTTGACGTCACAGCGGCGTTCTTTTCAAAATGTATGAGATTCCCTGTATTTTAGCCTCCTACAGATCGTATCTTGTACTCACATCGTCCTTGCTCCGTGTCCTCTGGGGGGGGGGGGAACTATCTCAAATAAAAAAACATGCAGTAAAAAGTAACGGACAGCGGTCGTTGTCAACAGACTGTTGTCAGATGTGCAGCACTTTTCTTCTCAGAGCACAAATGCTTCATACAGACACTGTATGCGCACAGCCAGCACTTTTTTCTGCCCGGAAAAAAAAAAACCCGCTAGGTGGACACGTGGGTTTCACAATGCAGTAAGAGAGGAAACAGAAGAGAAATGAGTGAGGACATAAAAAGCAGGCAAACAGAATAAATGAAGCAAGAAGAAGTAAATGCAATAAAAACATTTTGAATGAAAGACACATTTAGCAAAAAAAAAAGATGTAACAATAAGTTAAAGATCAAACAATATGATTAAAACGCAAAGAGAAGATAACATCACATAAAAAGATCTTTAAAAAGTGAAGGACCTTAGTGCATGCTATGTCTGGTTCAAAGCCCACTAACCTTGGTGTCGCAGGTAAATTCTGAAACCTCGCCTTGTCTCATGGTGATGACCACTCTCTCCCAAGCAGCTAGTTTAAACTTCTTGCCCAAGATGAGCTCCATGGGTTTGCTGCAATCCCCCATGGTCCTGGAATCATCCAGCACCGTGCCATCACACAGGCTGGTGCGATAATGGAAAACCACCTGGTGAAACAAGGACAGCACACCATTACACACAAATCTACAATAAAAAAAATAACTACTTTGACATAATCATTGTAATAACTCTTGTTTACTGAACACATAAAAGCAATCTGCACTACTTTTTGACGAGCCTGATCCGAGTCTACTCGCTCTGAAACTTTCTAACCAATCAAAGCCATGAACACTTGATTGACAGTACAGGCTGGCCAACCAAGTCTTCAAAAACACACCCCCATCCTGTCCCGCCCCCCTGGATGTTTCCATCAGATGAGGAAAAAAATAAAAAATAAGCTAGATGGGAGAACACAACGGGATTAAAATATATATATAAATCTAACGTTTTATCACCATAGATACAGAAAGCCCATAAACTATCAGTAAAGGTTGAACAAGAGCGCGATGTTTTAGTTGCTAGAATCAGAGTGTGTTATGTTAGCCGTTAGCATTAGCTTAAATGCTTCGTCGCATTTCTCAGTCCGAGTCAGAGATCTGGACTGAAGCCTTCTCATCGCTCACTCAGGTGTTGTTACCTTTGTTCCATTTGGAAAAGTCGACAGCTCTCCTTTACCGGGACTGACCAATTTCTTTCTTATCCCTTCCTCGAGAAGCTTGCGTGCCTCCTCCTCCATCCTTGACTCGTCTCGGTTTCCGACTGAAAACGAAGTTCGCCGAAGCTCAATCGTTTCGTGTGACGTCACTGCGCGTCTACGCTTCGAAAGCAAGGCGTTAGAGCGCCCTCTACACGTGGATACGGAGTAGTAAATGCAGTGCAAAAACAACAGTGCAAAGATGCTCAAACAACAAAAACAGTGCAAGTACGAAACATTTTAACCTAAATATAAATATAAATATAAATAACAGTGTCAATTTAAATACAACTTAAAGCTTAAACTTAACTTTAACTATTCAAGTTAACTATTATAAATATACAAATATATAGAACTAAATATACAGACGTACAAAAGTACACTCAGTTTACTGCACATTGCACATATTGCACAAGTTTACTTTTTCTTTAAATTTTATTTTATTTCATTTACCATTTTGTACCTTTTGCACAATTTTGAATTTATTACTGTAAATATTGTTTATCTTATTTTTACCTCATTTTATTTGATCTATTTTACCTTATTTTGGTTGTATTGCACCGTGGGACGGAGACAAACGCAATTTCGATTCCACTGTGTGTCTGGCATATTTTGGAATTGACAATAAAGTTGACTTTGACTTTGACTTTGAACTTAAAAATATAAAATGTAAGGAGTAGATATAAGTGGACAGTGATCGGACTAACAGATGTAAACAGATGTAACCAGAACTATGTGCAGTAGTGACCAGATGTAAACAGAACTATGTGCAGTAAACAAGAAATAAATATGTATATACAGAGCTATGTGCAAGTAGGCTAAATACTAAATGATAAGTTAATAAGGTGCATGGTGAATAATGGAACAACAGAACTAATATATACAATATAACTGTAAAGGTAAAAACTGCGTTACAGGCTGCCCTATATAATGAAGAATTATCTTTTCTGCAACATAACACAACAAAGAAAAATCTTCAACTTCTTTTATAGATTTCAATAAACATAAAATAGCAAGTTTAAATCTATCTATCTATGAACCAACACTAAAAAAAAGGTTGTATTTCATTAGCATGATACAGTTGTATGTTTGCAGGTGCAGAAAATAAATTTGATTGGATTATGGTAAATAATAACAGCCTTTCACACCTTCACAGTGCTGTCAAACTGACTTAAAACCTGCTGAGCCATAGGTTTAGTTTGAGCCAACGTTAGTTTATTTTCTTCTGAAACATATACAAAACGTGATTGTTTGAATGGAAAAAAGACTTTTTTGAATTAATCAGTAGTAATAATGACTAATAAATTGGACCCCGACCATATGCAGAATATTTATTGTCATCATCGTCATCATCATCATTATCTTCACTAACAGACTCGGGGAGTGCATTAAAAACAGAAAATGATAAAAAACAAGGTCAAAAACAAACAACAAAAAGAACACCACTGATTTTTTTTTTTTTAAACGCTTTACCAGTCTCTCCACAGGGATGACTGGTATAACACAGAAATATGATTCATCAGCAGCATTGTAGTGGAATTCTGAGAATCCTTAGGAGAAATATATCATGTTTCTCATACAAGCCTGGAACGTGTTGACTCCTGTATTAAAAAAACACTTCACTTCATGTAATATTAAATTTTTAATATTTGTACATAGAGAGGTTAAATAATAAACCGATTCTGATTCTGACTTGCACTATCACATCTTTTTTTGTGGTAATATCCTCATAGACTCATTATAAGTAATTTTCAACTTTTGCTGACCCTTTTATACTTAGCCCAGAAAAGAGTATTATAAAGTATGCTCTATTGAGACTTATCTTGACAGGGTCAGAACACATACAGAATTTACTCGAAACATCTCAAAGGCTGCTGGACAAAGCTGACATTGAAAGGTCTTTTTCTGTCTCAAATTAAAGCAAAGGATTTTTTTACATAACCGTTGAAGCCACTTGATTTTGGTTGGTTGGACTTCACTGATAGTTTTTATATTTAATTTACATATTTATTCACACATGATTCAATACTTTTGATAAAAAAGGCATAAGACCTGTCTCAATTGTCCCATTGATTCACAGAAATCCTCACTATTGAGTAAAATTAGTTTGTGTACACAAAATATCCAGACTTGTTCTATCGTTTATCTGCACGCTCATTTGCCTCTTTCCTGGTGTGAGATAGCTCCATCCAAGGGGAGGATCCTGGCAGGCAGACCCTGCAGCCAATGAACATGAGGAAAGCCCTACGGAAGGAACGGTTGAAGAAACCATAAAGGAAGGGATTAAGAGACGAGTTGATATATCCTAGCCACAAAAATATATCCCAAACAACACCCTCGGTGCTGTAGTCAATGAAGGGGTCTACAATGTTGACTGTAAAGAAGGGCATCCAGAAGAGAAGGAAAACACCCATGATGATACCCAAAGTTTTAGCTGCCTTCCTTTCTCTCTTCATGGTGTTCCGGTGCTTTTGTTTCTTACTCGAGTCCTTGCCCACTCCAGCAGCCATCTGGCTTTCCATGGCGCTGATCTGCATGGCCTGCCTTTTGGCAGCTTTAAAGATCTTCCAGTAGGCTATAAGCATGATAGCCATTGGTAAGTAAAAGGCTACCAAGGAGGCCATGACAGCGTAAACACGGTTGACTAAAAACACGCACACATCGTTAGGGAGCACAATGTTAACACCTGCGATATGGAGATTAAGCATAATGGGGCCAAAGGAAATAAGCATGGGTACAACCCAACACACAACAATAAAGAAAGTGACCCGACAGTGGGACATCTTTAAAGAGTATACAAGGGGGTTACAGACGGCATAGTAGCGGTCAAAGGCAATGCAGCTCAGATGGAATATGGAGGCAGTGCAGAGCATGACATCCAGACTGGAGTGAAGCCCACAAAAAAGAACACCAAAGTACCAGCATCCCTCCACAGTCCGAATCATACTGTAAGGCATCACCACCAGTCCAACAAGGCAGTCAGCCACTGCCAGGGACATGACAAAGGAATTTGTGGGCGACTGCAATTGCTTGAAGTAGGCAATAGACAAGACCACCAGGAAGTTCCCCACCACTGTGCAGACAATGCCAACAGAGAGGAAGGCATACAGGAAAATACGAGAGGCCTGGTTCCTCAATGTGTGACAGGAGTAAAGTTCATCCTGAAGAGATGTGTTGGTATCAGCGACCAATCCCAAGCTGACGTTATCCATGGTTTAATCAAACCTGTTCAAACACACAAGACAATGGAATGTTTTGATCTGAATTGCAAAAAAGGAGGCATTTTGAAGCAGCTTGCCCACACTCCTTTACATTACATTCAAAGTTGACAAACCAACCAGAGTTGAAGAAGAAGATAGACTTTATTAATCCCGCGAGGGGAATTCAATTTTTACACTCTGTTATTGAGACATGAAACACACACATAGGCTGAAATACACACACATACACAAACAAGATTCTTACATGCATTATTGGAGAGATGTCAGAGTAAGGGGGGCTGCCCACAGTGAACGCTCCTGAGCTGCTGGTGGTGGTGTGTGTGTGTGTGTGTGTGGGGGGGGGGTCGGTACTTTTGCTCGAGGGGAAATTTGTTTCGTAGCCAGGTGAGAACAATACGGAAAAAAAAAGAAAAGATAAACACCGTGAACGGCATTAAATACATAAATACAAGAGTTCATCAGGTAACAACAGGAAACTGAGAATGTCTAAACACGTCCATAAAACCATCATCAAAAACCAGAATAAAAACCCATTATCAGTCTTCAGGGTCATCATTGGAGTTCAGGAGATTGATGGCCTGAGTAATAAAATCATTTGTTGGATTTGGCTTTTGGCAATCTGTATCTCCTGCCTGAAGGCAGAAGCTCAAACTCACCAAACAGAGGATGTTGAGGACACTGTAAGATCGATGTCTCGAACCTTAGCTGCAGCTCTCTTTCTGAAGGTGAGTCACAGATCAGGTAATTTCACCCCAATTATCTAACTGGCCACTTTAATGTGTTGCAACCGGTTTTTGTCTCCAGTTCCCAACCCAAGTCCCTTCAGACTGAGCTATTGCATCCTGTTGTGTTTGTTTCAAATACAATTAGGGTTCTTCTATATCATTAGTTAGTTAATAGTTAATAGTTAGTTCATCTCTAGGCTGTAAACTTTAGTTTGCTTCACATATGGATCACATCACACTGTTGTTCTGAAAGGCACAAGTTCTAATTTTGTTGCCATATCCAAGTTGCCATTGTATTGCTTTCTGTCAAAAGCATAGCCCATGATATTGTCATCAACTCAGATCTTGATAAATTTAGAAGACAGACATATTACTGCTTTCTGCCTGTGTGAACCCGTACATGGATTTGATTGTCATAAAATTAATCATATTAAATATCCAAAGCCAGTTGGTCACAACGAACAGATGTTGTGAGCTGTCTTGCAACAAATTTAATGAACACCTCAGGGACTCTGCAGTGTTGATCTGAGAGTGATGAGGGGTGAAAATTAAGGTTTTTTCTTTTACTAGTATTCATGTATAGTTGTAATAATAAAAATAATAATAATAAAACAGCATTTTTCAATAATAATAACCTTCTGTAAACCATTATCGAAGGGTTCTTTTAAGAAGGGACTTTTAAGAGATACCAAAAATACTTTGAGAAAATCATTAGCTGTTACAGTAGAGATCAGAGGTAATGCAAGGAGTCTTTTTTATTCTATGTTTTGTCTGTAAAGATGCTCAAACTAAATTTATGAGATCACATTTTTTTTTGTTAAAAGCCCAGCAGCAATGTTCTCTAAAGTCTGGCATTCATCAAAAGATAAGTGATTCAGGCATGTAAAACGATGTTGCCATGATCAAGTCACATTGAGTTAAAAGGTTAAAAGCCTGTCACGCTGTCTTTGTGCATTCAAAAGTAAAGACTGATTTTATTTCTGAAATATTTCTGAGATGATAAAAAATTCAAATTAAGTATACAAGCTTTATAGTGTAATACTCAAAAATGTAAATTACTGTCAAATCAAACAAGACTTAAAATTGGTTATTTAGAGTTTTAAGAGCTTCAGGTCCTTTAAATTCAACTT